TATAGACAAAATTTTAGTATCGTTCGTTAGCCAATTTTCACGGTTTTTTCAATATTAAATTGAATAAAAGTGATACTTCTAAGCCGAATTTCGAGCATCGGTCAATTCCAAACGAAAGAGCATACATTTTTCTATATAATGGCATATTCTTTAGAGATTTTTTCTAAATAGTTAAAATTTTATGAGGAATATAGACAAAATTTTAGTATCGTTCGTTAGAGGATTTTCACGGTTTTTTCAATACTAAATTGAAAAAAAGTGATACTTCTAAGCCGAATTTCGAACATCGGTCAATTCCAAACGAAAGAGCATACTTTTTTCTATATAATGGCATATTCTTTAGAGATTTTTTCTAAATAGTTAAAATTTTATGAGGAATATAGACAAAATTTTAGTATCGTTCGTTAGCGAATTTTCACGGTTTTTTCAATACTAAATTGAAAAAAAGTGATACTTCTAAGCCGAATTTCGAACATCGGTCAATTCCAAACGAAAGAGCATACTTTTTTCTATATAATGGCATATTCTTTAGAGATTTTTTCTAAATAGTTAAAATTTTATGAGAAATATAGACAAAATTTTAGTATCGTTCGTTAACGAATTTTCACAGTTTTTTCAATATTAAATTGAATAAAAGTGATACTTCTAAGCCGAATTTCGAACATCGGTCAATTCCAAACGAAAGAGCATACTTTTTTCTATATAATGGCATATTCTTTAGAGATTTTTTCTAAATAGTTAAAATTTTATGAGAAATATAGGCAAAATTTTAGTATCGTTCGTTATCGAATTTTCACGGTATTTTTAATACTAAATTGAAAAAAAGTGATACTTCTAAGCCGAATTTCGAACATCGGTCTATTCCAAACGAAAGAGCATACTTTTTTCTATATAATGGCATATTCTTTAGAGATTTTTTCTAAATAGTTAAAATTTTATGAGGAATATAGACAAAATTTTAGTATCGTTCGTTAGCGAATTTNTTTTTTCAATACAAATTTTCACGGTTTTTTCAATACTTAATTGAATAAAAGTGATACTTCTAAGCCGAATTTCGATTTTCACGGTTTTTTCAATACTTAATTGAATAAAAGTGATACTTCTAAGCCGAATTTCGAACATTGGTCTATTCCGAACGAAAGAGCATACTTTTTTCTATATAATGGCATATTCTTTAGAGATTTTTTCTAAATAGTTAAAATTTTATGAGGAATATAGACAAAATTTTAGTATCGTTCGTTAGCGAATTTTCACGGTTTTTTCAATACTAAATTGAAAAAAAGTGATACTTCTAAGCCGAATTTCGAACATCGGTCAATTCCAAACGAAAGAGCATACTTTTTTCTATATAATGGCATATTCTTTACAGTTTTTATCTAAATAGTTAAAATTTTATGAAGAATATAGACAAAATTTTAGTATCTTTCGTTAGCGAATTTTCACGGTTTTTTCAATACTAAATTGAAAAAAAGTGATACTTCTAAGCCGAATTTCGAACATCGGTCAATTCCAAACGAANGTGAAACGACTGAATATATTTTAGAGCAGTGTTTCTCAAATTTTTTACTTTTGCGAGCCCCTAAATGAATATTTAAATTTAGCAATCTCTAAATATACATTTTATACTCGACGACCCAATATTTTATATTTTTTTCTAAATAGTTAAAATTTTATGAAGAATATAGACAAAATTTTAGTATCGTTGTATAGCGAATTTTCACGGTTTTTTCAATAATAAATTGAAAAAAAGTGATATTTCTAAGCCGAATTTCGAACATATTTCTAAGCCGAATTTCGAACATCTGTCTATTCCAACGAAAGAGCATACTTTTTTCTATATAATGGCATATTCTTTAGAGATTTTTTCTAAATAGTTNTAAATAGTTAAAATTTTATGAGGAATATAGACAAAATTTTAGTATCGTTCGTTAGCGAATTTTCACGGTTTTTTCAATACTAAATTGAAAAAAAGTGATACTTCTAAAACGAATTACGAACAACTTCTAAAACGAATTACGAACATCGGTCAATTCCAAACGAAAGAGCATACTTTTTTCTAAATAATAGCATATTCATTAGAGTTTTTTTCTAAATAGTTAAAATTTTATGAGGAATATAGACAAAATTTTAGTATCGTTCGTTAGCGAATTTTCACGGTTTTTTCAATACTAAATTGAAAAAAAGTGATACTTCTAAGCCGAATTTCGAACATCGGTCAATTCCAAACTAAAGAGCATACTTTTTTCTATATAATGGCATAGTCTTTAGAGATTTTTTCTAAATAGTTAAAATTTTATGAGTAATATAGACAAAATATTAGTATCGGTTGTTAGCGAATTTTCACGGTTTTTTCAATACTAAATTGAAAAAAAGTGATACTTCTAAGCCGAATTTCGAACATCGGTCAATTCCAAACGAAAGAGCATACTTTTTTCTATATAATGGCATATTCTTTAGAGATTTTTTCTAAATAGTTAAAATTTTATGAGGAATATAGACAAAATTTTAGTATCGTTCGTTAGCGAATTTTCACGGTTTTTTCAATACTAAATTGAAAAAAAGTGATACTTCTAAGCCGAATTTCGAACATCGGTCAATTCCAAACGAAAGAGCATACTTTTTTCTATATAATGGCATATTCTTTAGAGATTTTTTCTAAATAGTTAAAATTTTATGAGGAATATAGACAAAATTTTAGTATCGTTCGTTAGCGAATTTTCACGGTTTTTTCAATACTAAATTGAAAAAAAGTGATACTTCTAAGCCGAATTTCGAACATCGGTCAATTCCAAACGAAAGAGCATACTTTTTTCTATATAATGGCATATTCTTTAGAGATTTTTTCTAAATAGTTAAAATTTTATGAGGAATATAGACAAAATTTTAGTATCGTTCGTTAGCGAATTTTCACGGTTTTTTCAATACTAAATTGAAAAAAAGTGATACTTCTAAGCCGAATTTCGAACATCGGTCAATTCCAAACGAAAGAGCATACTTTTTTCTATATAATGGCATATTCTTTAGAGATTTTTTCTAAATAGTTAAAATTTTATGAGGAATATAGACAAAATTTTAGTATCGTTCGTTAGCGAATTTTCACGGTTTTTTCAATACTAAATTGAAAAAAAGTGATACTTCTAAGCCGAATTTCGAACATCGGTCAATTCCAAACGAAAGAGCATACTTTTTTCTATATAATGGCATATTCTTTAGAGATTTTTTCTAAATAGTTAAAATTTTATGAGGAATATAGACAAAATTTTAGTATCGTTCGTTAGCGAATTTTCACGGTTTTTTCAATAC